TTTTCCTTTGTGTCTTTGCTCTTTATTTCTAACCGACCAAACCAATTCATCTCTCTTTACTCCCTTTACTCCCTTTACTCCCTTCTCGCTCTCGCTTCTTTCTCTCTGACAATTTTTAAAAAAGTATTTTACATTTTATGGTTTTGAGCGTCTCTTTTGTCTGCTGAGATCGTAAGCTCGTAAGCATAAAAACATAAAGTGTGTCAATTGTCACTATATCTCAATACCAAAGTGTGTCAGAGTTATACTTTACTGTGACTCTACGGAGCTGCTGGTCTTGTTAAAAACCGCTTACTCTCTACGCTTGAATGCTGCTCAACCGCTCTCCCTGATCCTCTCTCCTTATTGTTTATCCTCTCTTGTATCCCTTTCAATTTTACCTTACCCTCACCCTGGTGATCAATCGCCTCTCTTCAACTCCCTCACGCCCACGCCCGCTCTCTCAACCATCGCACCCAAATCTCATCTCTCTCTGACCTTTTGGTTTACTCTCTCTCTCTCTTTTTAAAAAAATTTTCACTGTCATCAACACACAGAAGACAAGCGGATGTGGCGCGAGGTACGATCGTTGTCGGAAATGGCAGCGCCGTCATCCGCCCGTTCCTTCGAGGCAGGGAGGAGGGGTGGGGGGGGTCTTTTTTTCAAATGCACTTTGTGGTGCATTCGATGCACGGCTCTTGCTTTTGTTTGTGGCGTGTTTGGGGTGCTTGGGCAGCCAATGCGGTGGGACAAACGTTGTCAAACGCCAAGTTTACGCGCGGTTTCTCATCTTTTTTACGTTTGTGTGCACGATGGCAGCCACACCCGACGGCCTTCCACCATAGACCAACGCCCTCTTGACGCGGTTTGCGTCGCAGTTCATGGCTGACGGTCGCTTCCGGTAAAGGGCATCGTGCTCTGGGTCTGGGTCTGGTAGATTTTAAGCACAACCCGTTATCCAAAGAAGGTTTCCGGTTGGCTTGGGTGGAACCCGGGCTTGAGGTTTGGCACCATGTTGCCCACTTCACCCGTACCCGCAAGGCGCAACTCGCGCATCCCCGTTCGCACCTCCATCGAGGAGCGTGACAAGGTTTGGACAGCTCGCATTCTTGGAATAAACCATCCCGCCGCCTCCGCTTTCTATTTTGTGTCGCATGGCGAGCCGTTGTCATTCACCCCGAATCGCCCCTCTCATACTTACGCAGTCGAGCAAACGAGCCTCAACGGCCCTGGAGCGACGCATTGACGCAGTCCTTAGCAGTGTACGCCTTTACTATCTCGGCAAAGTCGGCCCTTTTGCTTTCCTCATCGGCAACGATGACCAGCGTTACAAGGTACGCACTCACTGCCTCAATGGACCCACCCCTTCAACCCTCGTCACCATCCTCTATGCCCGTTGACACCGCTCATCAGCTTGTCGTCGCGCGGTCACGTTAACAAACTTGTGTCGTCCACAGGTCGTTCTGGGTCCACAGACTTGCTCGGGCTGCCGCCAGGAGCACTGCTGCCACCTGCTGTTTGTCCTCCTCAAGTTGCTCAAACTGCACCGTGATAACCCGCTCATCCGCCGCTCGAATATCCACGATTATGAAATCAAATCCATGGTCAACATGTTCAACGAGGCCGAGGAAGCCAAGAAGCAGCGCTGCTTGAGCCACGCCACCACCCTGGATAGTGAGGAGGGCTGCCCCATTTGTCTCGTTCAGGTCGTCGAGGGTGAATCGGCCACTCGCTGCGCCACTTGTCGCAATGCCATTCACCTGCATTGCATGACCGTCTTGGCCCATGGTTGTCGTGCCATTGGGAAACAAACCAGCTGTCCCATTTGCCGCTCCGAATGGCAAGCCCTCACGGACCCGGTCATCACCGACGAGAGTACCCCCTCCGCCCCGCAACTGAGTGATGCGGCTCTAAAGACAAACGCCGCCAACGCCGCCAATGTTGACCCCGACTCTCTCCTCTGGCTCCCCGAAGAGCACCGCTTACACGCTCGGCGGTGCTTCACCACGCTGGCCACCGACCGCAAGAACAGCGTGCAAGGACTCAAAGAGTTGCTGCTCCAGCATCCCACCCTCGTGGCCACCCATGGACTTGAAGCCAGCCGCCTCTTTGAAAATCTTCTCCGTGACAAAGTCTTGGCGGTGCTCCACACCGTCGCCGTCCTCATCGTAGCCGTCGGCCCTCAACTCCCCACGAGCTGTTGGCCAACCTTGATTGAGGCCATTGTCCTTCGAACTGGTGACTCGGCCCTTGGCATTCAGTGCGTTTTTGATGATATCCCATGCCCGCCCTGCCCGAGAACCAAGCCACGGTGTGGCTGCTCTTTGCCCCGACTCTCCCTAACACCAACCCGTTGTCCCGTTTAGGCAAATGTCCAAGGATCTGCTGTCCGAGCTCATGATGGCGGGCGTGGTGACACTGGACATGATCCTTACCACCACGTGCACGAGTCCACCGCGTCAACACCTGAGCACCCGTCTGCGCCAGTGGTTTGCTGGGCACCTGACCACCCTCATTCATTTGAACGAGCACTACAGCGGCCTCATCTCCGCCTCGCCGACCGTCATTCAAGCAGCTCAACGTTCTGAAGGTGTGCAAACCCCTCGGCTCAAGCAAGACCAGCGGGATGCGAACATACACACGTCATCGTTGGCGCAACCGTGCACACTGCCCCTCATCACTATTCCTGCTTCTTGCGTGGGGAATTAGATCTCAACTTTTTCTCCCCCATCCTTGAGAACTGGCGCACAGCGGTCTTTGCTTCGGGTCATCAACGGTGCGAGATTAGGGCCCGTTTCGCCTCTTCTCAATTCGAGGTCCTAGATGATAGGAGCGCCTCGGGTGGAGACGTTTCAAGCCTCGGGTCTCACCCTGCCGCTTCAACACCACCCATAGTATCATTCGCATGTGGAAGCGCTTGTCCCGTTGTACCGCAGACTTTCGTGCAGATGACACCCTGGCCGCCCAGCAAGCGAGCTCGTCTCGTACGTGTCATGTGCCTCTTTGGTCCTTAAGTCATGCGCTGGTGCTCACTGCTCACCCTCGTACCATGCCTGCTGCAATGTGACACCAACAGCTTCGTGTGAGGCCCTCAGTCAGTGCTCCGGAGAGAGCTTGGTTGCGGACGAATTCGAAGACACCGACTCGTGCGCATCGCCCGAGCCTGCCGCTGTGCCCAGTGTGGACGAAGACTATCGCGAAGGCACTCATTGGGAGCGGCGTGCCCTCTTGGGCCGGGGCGCTACTGGTCAAGTGTACGAGATCAAGGACCTAGCCTCCGGTCAGCTGCTTGCCGTCAAAGAGGTCAGTTTGAGCTTTTGGCTGGACCGGAGTATGGTCGGGATTGAGTCAGCGGCTGCATCAAGCAGACAAATGCGTTGTCAACCGTTGTTTGGTCTTGGCTGATGGTTTCAACGGTGCGACTTGCAGATTGGCCTCCCAGCCACCATGGCCCCGAGCAAGCGAGTATCACAGGTCGCGCGCTTTGAAAGTGAATTTGACCTCATCGACGGGTGAGCCAATGTGCCGCCCTTGGCATCTTGCTGATCCAGGCCCAGTCTCACGCCTGCCCCGTTGTCGAGTGTATAGAATCGGTTCTCACACCAATTTGGTCCGCTACTTTGGTACCAACGCCACGCCTTCGCACGTGTGCCTTTACCTTGAGCTGCTCAAGGGTGGGTCGCTGCTGGATTTGCTGCATGATCAAGGCGCTCTTGACAGTGTGCGAGCGGTGACCTGCCTCGTGCAAGTTGCCAATGGCATCGCGCACCTGCACAAGGCTGGCATCATCCATCGTGACATCAAAGCGGCCAACGTCCTGCTTACGGAAGAGGGTGTCGCCAAGCTGACTGATTTTTCCGATGCTCGTGCTCTGGCTGGGCATGAAACTCAAGAGGGTGAAATTCACTCCACTCATGGCAGCCCAGCCTACATGGCCCCCGAGGTCATCCGAGGCGCCCATATCGGCCGGGCTTCGGACGTTTGGCAACTGGGCTGCCTCTGCATTGAACTCCTCACAGCCCATCCGCCGTGGCATGAGCTCTCCTGCCTCAATGCATTTGCCCTCATGTTTCATATTGCTGGCAGTGACAGCGTGCCTGCTCGTCCCAACACCGACGACGCCCGTCTCACGGTAAGGTCCACCGCGTGCACTGTCATTGTACACCTGCCTGGGCTCTGGATTTGCAAATATGGACAAATTCGCAGAACTCATACCATGTGCTGCTCCTGCACGTGGCTCTCACATGCTCAGGGCTTGATGGATGCCTGTCTTCAGCGAGACCCCGGGGATCGCCAGAAGATTCGTGCCATTCAGCGACTGTTAACTGGATCGGATGAGTCTTGATCAATTGGGGGTTTACGGATGCCGTCTTTTCGTCCGTGAATACCATGCATGTTCTAATGTTGTGTTCCGTCTTGTGTGAGTGGAGTGCCGCATGATTTTTATTTTTTTTTTCTTGCTGGCGCATCACTTTCCTTTTTTTTTTTCTGTTACACGCACGCAAATGTTTGAATGAGAGTGCGCTGCTTCGAGTTTTGTGCTGAACCGTGGGCGCCTGAGACTGCGCGCATCAGCTGTCAATAGTAGCTAGAGAGCTTTTTTTTTCCCGCGTTTTCTTGACATTTTTTTTATTCATGGTATTCTTTGCGCGATGGCCTCTTTATGTCGCCTGTTATTTGTGCTCTTTCCACTGTCATAGAGCTCATGACCTGAGCCCCTTTGTCACGTGCTGTCATGTCTATCTTTTGCTGAGTGCACCATTGCTGTCCATTTTGATAGATGAGCAAAGGCCAGTCTTGCTGGCCGCCTATCAATCGATGTGTGAACATGTTTGACACTTGTCCGAAATTTGCTTTGGTCAATTAGTTGATTAGGACGGCATACTATTTTTGTATAGCATCAAGACAACGGCCACTCAAAGCCTGTGAAAGAACCTCAGCGACCTGCTTGATCAATACCACGAAGCCGCAGTTGGTTGGTAATCCCACGGCCGCCCCTGCAGGAGATAGTGTCCGATTGAGAAAAGTGTGGCAGTGCAACGATGGGCAGGACACGACATCAAGCTAACAAAAGTGCGGACCATGCTGACTCACAAACACCCGAAAGCATCGGATATCCATATTTTGATTGAGCGGTCCTCGCGAATGGGCGCTAATGCACTTGATAACAAGCCATCTGATGTTAAAGTCCCAGTCCCAAAGCCCACGAGGCGGTGTGTGTCATGAGGATGGCTCGTGCGGCCAGGTGCGCCACGCGTCGGGTGACTGCATTGCCAGCGACACGTACGAGACTCGACGTCGATGGCGCAGATAAACTCGAGTTGGTTCACCGACCGAACAGGAAAAATAGGCAAGAGGTTCACGCTCTGCCCACGGTTCGTTGGAACTACATGGGAAAAAAGGGGGTGGATGCGAGCCCAGGAGTTTGTGAGAAATTTTAGTGCACCAAGCTTCCACACAAAGCCTTGGCCAGTGGGCAGCTGTAAAGAGAAAACTGACGCAGCCTTGGTTTGAAGCAGGTGTTCCCAGTCATGCAAGGTCCAGTCATCGTAGCTACCAGGCCCCACACGTGAATATCGGCCATCCAAAGGCCACAACCACGATGAAACTGAACATGATGGTTACGAGGCAGTGGCACAGTAGCTCGTACCAGGCATAGTCAAACTCGTTTGGCTCGGCGGTGGCGGCAAAAACCAGCCCGCCTAAGTGTCCCGGGGCAAGAGAGGGATTGATCAGGAAAATGTGGAGAGCATCATGCTGTGCTTTCAATGCCCGAAGCTTCGGGCCTCGGTAGGCTTTGGCCTGACGAAGAGAGCAGGACAAGCCCGAGACGAGAGTCGTACTATGTACTGGGCAGGTATATCCGAGCGTAGGTGGGCAGATGTCCACGGCAACCAAGGCATGATTCTATCCGTTTGTCGAAGCCACAAGGCGACAGAAGGTTTTTCAGCATGCGACCGTGTAGAAAAAAAAAAAAAAAAAGATATTTAAACTTGAGGGGAAGCCGAGACCGGGCACGGACCAGGCGTTCGACTTGAAGTTTGAACGTCACGTTGCGGCTGAGCCGTGAACAATAGACAGTCGAGTCGTTGCTCTCAACGTTTTTTATCTAGATAGCCGTGTCGGCAAGAGAGATCGGCAGCGAGAGAGCGGTTAGAAGGGATTGATGAGCTAGGGTAGCTGCTGGCGAGCAGTGCGCCAAAGAGCCGGACCTGGTGGGCCTGAGAGAATTGGCCGCCTGTGCACGCCGCAACGTGAAAGGGCAGGGCCTGGAGGCCAGTATCGGACTCGATCTGGTCAATTTCGTTGTGGGATTTTTGCTCTGTGTGCCCCGAACGATCCGCGCAAGACAGACTTTATCAGGCGGCAGCCATGCACGCCACTGAGCGGAAAGCAGCCCAGCAGGGTATGCATTCGCGATGGGTACAACTCACCAAGATTTGGTGCCATGACAGGAACAACGGCCCCCGATGGCGTACGCGTGGTCAGTACATCAGTCATGTTGGCAGCGTTGGTGGCCGTACAGCCAGCCACCTTGCTCTAGGTCAACTGCTGGGCGAACGGACTGGCAGCCGATGAGGGTCCAGGCGAGCCAGAAGACAGTCGAGAGTAGGGAGGCCAGATGTGCTGCAACCATTACAAGCAAATGAATGCCCGCACGACCACTCATCAACGCTTTACACTTTGCAGGCCGCGAAACGTGGTGGCCACCATGGCCAACCCGTGGTCTCGGATTTGGATGACTCCATGTCCCGCTCGCAATCGGCCCATCCCAAATCTTGGCAAGTGATCCCGATAACGTCGCTGAGGAGTCACGAAACATCGCTTGCCGAGTGAGCGAGCGGGTCGATGGGCACCATGAGCAAGCGCGCCGGAGCCCTTGTTGGTTGCCTCAACTGCATGCATGAAAGCAAAAAAGTGAAGCAATGCCTGGCAAAAAAAAAGTGTGTGTGAGAGAAAGAGAGAGAGAGAGAGAGAGAATGGGACAAGGCTGCGCTCGCGTCGTCTCAAGAATGTGACGTGAAGCAGGCTCATCGCAGGCATGTATCGGCCTTGAACTGGAAAAAATTACTGGGCATGGCAGAATCTTGCCGATGGCACGTTGCTTACAGAAAGGTGGGCCATGTGTTGACCAGTGCAGTGTTCGCAAGTCGATTCGAAAGTCATCAGGTGCAAATAGGTGGACATGCAGAGCAGCAACACGCAAGAAAGAAGCCACCAGAAACAACATGGCCAGCGACACATGCCAAGGTGATGAGACGCGTGCAACGCGGGCATGGCAGCGGCCGAGCGGCGTATTCGGCCTGCTCTTCAAATTACTGGTTTTTCTGGACGGCAGCGTACGCTTGTCTCAAGGTCGCGGACAATTTAGACTTGGCTGCTGCAGCTGACCTATTGCCCAGTTCCTGTAGCACAGAAGAGGCCATCGCCGGCAAAAATTGAGCCATTGAGGTGGCAACAAGCCCTTTTTAGCCCATTTCTAAGCACCCCCTTGGTGGTAGCAAGCTGACCTGATGAAGAGCCTGCACAACGGCCAGGGCGTGTGCCTCGCTCATGCCGAGACTCGGTAGCAACTGGGCTTGTAAGTGTGACAGCAGCGGCTCGCCCAAGATGCGCACCAGGCTGAGGAGGAGCAGGGCAATTTCCCCAAGGGCGAGGTTGAACTGAACATCGCCGAGATTGAAGTGGGGGTCGAGCGGAGCTTGCAGGCCAGCCATCAAGATTTCGGTTCGAGCAAATTCCTCAAACCCCTCGACCGCCCGTGTGGGAAGCCATTGATCTACCAGCGCGAGAAGAATAGAGGCACATTGCTTGCGCAACTTTGGGTCATCCAGAGTCAACAACCCGTTGGTAACGGTACCCATGAGCGCCGGGAAGGCGTCCGGATTGACAGTCAAGGCCTCAGCGCACTCGTGCGTCACAACAGAGTGCAGCAACGAAAAGTGGGCGCGCCGGACATCCAGAACTTGTTGTGCCTCCTCCGGAGACTTGTTCTCGCCCTGACCCGCATTCAAGAAGCCGTACAGAGCCTAATGGTACGGCGAAAAAATAATTTGAGATTCCAGAACAAGCGCGGGCAAGCAGTGTACCAAAAAAAGGGATGGGATGCACGAGTTGGCACGTCTTCAAGCCGCTCAAAGTAGCCCCGACTGGCACGCGGGGCGGGGTGGGCGTTCATTTCGCGCCCTAAAGATGGCAAGCGTACACACATACCTCCACCAGAGGAAAAAGTGTTTGCTGCAAAACTGGGAGCACCGCAGCCTTGAACTTGACCACCATGTGGGCCAGTAAAGGGACAAACTCAGTCAGATCCTCAATGGTCGGCTCGGACAAAAGGCCGCGAATGGCTATGGGCATGACAGTGAGCACATCACTCCCCAAAGCCACGACCATGCGATGCAGATACATGCGCACAGCTACATTCACGGACGCCATCCACCACAACACCATGAGCTAGGAAATGAGTGGGTGGAGAAAAGCACGCTAACGTGCTCAAACTTTTGGTTGCAGGACGAGTATCAGACAGGATTGAGGGTCACTCTTGCTGGGACGCACCGCCATGCAGGGTTGAGCGCTCGATGCTCGTGCCAAGCACGGTCACAAAGACATCGAGGGCCTGTTGAAAAACCGTGGTTCCACCACAGGCACTCAAGGTTGCTGCACTAAACCCCTTGCTAAGTCGCCTAGGAACGAACCCCAGCGATGGAGGAGCCGGGGGCGGGGGTGAGCAAGCAAGAAGGGTGATGCACCATCTGAGGCTGGTCCCCACGCGACAACTTTGATCTTGTACCGACTATCGGTGAGACGAGGGAGGGGCTTACGTCACAGAGGAGATGATATGGCTGAGACGGGCGGCCAGAATTGGATGCTCCTCCGATGATGTCTCGGACTGCAACAGCCTCGTCGCAACTTCTTGAAAGGCCTGCAGAAGCGGAAATACCAGAGCACCCAAATCCTCCGCCTTGGTCTACACCCGCAACGCATCGCAACGCGCAGAAAAAGTCTTAGTGCCGTACGATCACGGCCCTGTTCGATCGCAACTCTGGCCTCGCCAGGCAACTTGAAGAACGTGCAAAGTCGGCCGCCCAAGAAGCCAGGCGCTCACAAAGCAACGCACAGAATGAGGCCAGATACATACCGCTGCTGCTTCTGACGACTCGCTGAGAATCCAAGATAAGCCTTCCAGCAAGAAAAGCTGATCCTCGGGTGCCAGCGTCTGTACCAGTGCCAACAGCGTAGGGTGTCAGGCCTGGCACGAATGGATAGTCGAATTGTCGAATTGTCGAATTGTCGAATTGTCGAATTGTCGAATTGTCCCATGACAGGCTCTCAAGCCCCACACTCTAAAAGTTGGGCCATCCAGAACAAGGCCCGCCGCTCACCTCGTTAAGGATCATGTCAAAGGTCAAAAGCTCGGCTAGGCTAGCCTTAAAGGCGGGATAGTATTGGCCCAAATAAGGTCGAAGCGCCCGATCCTTCATCACGGTCATGCCCAAGAGATAGCAGCATCTATTTGGGCCACGCCCAGTGAGCTGGTCAGACAAGAATCTACATTGGCGTTGGCAACGTACACAAGCACGCCACGGGTTGCTCGTGTACCTTGAACGGATGCGCTCATCCGGGTGACGAATACCAAGGGGTCCAAGCATGGTGCTCACAAGTGGATCCACGCTCTGTGGCGATAGGAAACGCACTGCCCGGCCATAGACTGCAACATACCAGTACCTCCCAGTCAACCCGAGTCACCCATGCCACAGGCACAGCAAAGCATACATCAGGATGAGTGAATAGGGTGATCACTCACCTTCAAAAAGCTGTTTGAGAACACCCAAATGGGCATCGGCAGCCACCTGGGCCATGATCGCGTGATCGACCAGGTTGCGCATGCGTATGCGCGCGGGCAAAGCTTCAAACGTTTCACTCTTTGCTGGCAAAGGCACGTACTCCGCCAGGCAGTAGATTAAGTAAAGCACAAGCTCGAGCTCAGTCCAGGGCGCAGAGGCAGCTTGCTGTAACACAGCCAAAATGTTGTCTTCCACGTGATCAAGAACCAAATTCAAATTCTATGACAAAAAAAAAAAACGAGGGGTCATGCACCACAAGAGGGACCTTCATCACCAGCGCAAGGGCACTAGGACATGGACATGCAGCACAAGTGTGGAACCCACGTACCAGAGCACAGACATTGGCAAGAACGGTCTTGAGTTCCTTGCGAAACTCTTCAAATTCTGCCTCATTCTGCGCATCTGTCACGACCAGATCTTCAGGCTCGTGCTTCATCTTGAGAATGGTGATGGATATGAGCTGCTGCAGCAACTGATCGTGCTCGGGTGGCAACTGGCCTTCTTTGGCCTGCTTGTGCAAGGCCAGGTACTCGGTCACGCTGGATAACATCGCATGCGACACATCATCATCCTCGTGTGCATAGGCGGCAAAGGCCAAGGGCAGAACCACCATAAGAAGTCCCATGAGCGCATGTTGCAAGGAGGGCTCGGTGGCTGCCTGAAGCTCCTGCAGGGTGGCGTAGGCTGTGCAGTCCAGGGCACGACCAATCTTGATGAGCAGATCCACGTCGTCAACTTCCATGGCCTGCACGGCCAACTGCTGCAAGCTCGGCCACACTTGCAGAGCCTCAAACACCTGAACCTTTTCTGCTGCCGGCATGCCCTTCAAAGCCATGGCTGCGATGCACTCGCAAGCAGCCTCGGCCATGGGTGACGGCTCGGCTAGACAGCGATGGTAGACCTGACAAAGATAATGTTACCCGACAGGGTCGTGACAAGAGTGAGGACCAGGCTCCGAGCTAAGGCGAGTAGCTCGGCTTGAGTCGTGCGCAGAAGCGTCGCTGACCTGCACTGCGTCGGGACTTGCTGTCAGGTTGATGTCGACCCAGTCTATGTATTCGGCAACAACGTGCAGTGCAAGCGCTGCCGTCTCCACGTCTCCTGTGTACGACCAGGCGCGCCAGCAATGATGACTGAGATAAGCTGTGGATAATTGCATGCTTGCTGCCTACGCACGCCAGACTCCCGTGCGCACCATCTTCGCAGGCAAACACGACACTGTTGAAGCAAGTGGAGAGAATTAGCGGCATGTCTTGATCACGCAGCTGATCCTTGAGCTCGGCATATTGCTCCAGTTCGCGATTGGTGCGATTCAGCTCGCGATCGGCAATCTGCAGAGTTTGAATGGAGGTGCAGGTGAGGAGAGCGGATGGCGGCGTACCCCAGCGTACCCCACATGCGTGCATGCGACATGAGGTAGACTGGCATGGCGCACACGTGAGGTGATTTGAAAGCGCCGACCTTTTCATTGACGGCAAGGAGCATCCGCAAGTAGATATCCAGGCATTGGCGCTCTTGGCACATGGACATGACGTCACCAAAGAAGCTCGACCACATTTGAGGATAATCGTGCGAGAAGCTATCAACACGGCGATGAAGGATGGGATCCAAGAGCAAAGCGCAACAAGGAGTTTTGTGAGTGGTCATTGGCCAAGCCTTTTTCGGCGACGCCAGTACAGCTTGACGATGAGCCGTACATGGAGGCAAGTAGCTGGGCAAATTTATTGCGCAGAAAGGTCGGATGCAGTAAGACACGATCGAGAATGCCAGGGAGGCTTTGGCGGAATTCTTGGCGCAAGTTGCTGGGCCACTCGCCATAGTGCTGACGCGCTACCTCTTCGACAATCTGCCAAAAGTCGTGGCACGACACGAAAGAGGGGCATTCAGGTAGGGGTTAGGTGAACATGGACAAGTGGGCGTACTTGCACGTCGGCAGGGGGAAGACAAAAATGGCCAACAGATGCTTGCCTTGAGGCTTGCAAAGGTAACATCTGTGTTACATCCAATGGTTGAGGTGGAGCGTAACTTGTCCCAGCAGACGCGCCAGCCGCTGCTAGATGTTTGCAGCTCTTGAAGGTAGTGAAAGGCCTGCATGTTTGCGCATCCCCAGCACAGATGGAGATAGAAGATGAGGTTTCTGTTTCTGTAAAAGAGGCCACCGGCGGCTGCGCCAGCCCCGGGTGCCCCTATTGGCTGATAGCATGAATGTGAGGCGCTCACCTCACGACGCTGCTCGGGTGTCGCAGCTGGTGCTACGCTGAGCATCACGGCCTGCTCGAACCGATCCATGATAACGATTCGAAATCAACAAGGCCTGGATCGCAGCGCGTGCTGCCGGCTGAACAGACGCGTTTGGGCTGCGGACTGTGAACAAGTGAAGTCCTCTTGATTGTGGGGGAGAACACAAAAAGCTGAATGGGTCGATCCACCCACTGCCGGGGCGAGGGCTCGCTTGCGGACCACGCAGTTGGCTCACAGCCGCATGATGCCCCAGGCGCAGCGATAAAACAACACGTGGCCAAATGGGCACCAGGCCCAGACAAGTCCAATCAACCGCTGTCCAAAACCAAAGGCAAGTTTGATCACCCTTACATCCCACTGCACCCGTCGCTCAACAAGCCCACCACCCAACAACACTCCAATATCTCAAGCGCCGCCGACCAGAACCAGCCAACAACCAGTCCAGTCCAGTCCAGTCCAGTCCAGTCCAGTCCAGTCGCCCCCCTTCGGGTCGATTCATTCAAAAAAAAAAAAAAAAAAATTGAAATCACGGCACACATGGATGAGAGCGTCCTTGCGATAGTGTGCTAATTGTCAGACTCTTTGATACGATTTGTCAGCATTCAGTTTCACACTCTCTTTCTCTATGTTTCTTTTCTTGTTGTCACATGTGGTAGTTGTGCTATCTCTTCGTGCCTTCATGCCTTTCACTCTCTCGAACTCTCTCTCAAACTCTCTCTCTCTCTCTCAAGCTCTCTCTTCTCTCTCTCTCTCAAGCTCTCTCCTTCTTTGCTCTTTACTTCTCTCTTTCTCAAACCGACCAAACCAATTCATTTCAAGCTCTCTCTCTCTCTCTCTCTCTCTCTCTCTCTCTCTCTCAAGCTCTCTCTCTCTCTCGTACTCTGGTACATCTTCAGATGCTTTGCTGTTGCTTTCCTTGAGGAAGTTGATAAAGACGATTAATTCGATTCGCTTCGCGTGGCGGCAGGGAGCGATGGAGGCAGGGGGCATTTAGAGACAAAGGCACACCACTGCGTCTGTGGCTCGAACCTGGGTCAGAAAGAAACAACGGGACAACAACGGGTCAGTAAATGGTTGGGAAGCAGCCAGCAGAGCATGGTCAGGAGTGCGGTGTTGCAGCGGCACTACGGCGAGCTGCAAGCTCGAGGAGCTTGGTTTGCATGGTCACGGCTGCAGTTAGCTGCTCCGGATTTGCCAAGACCTTGTTGGAGCGCTATGGAGGATATGGGATCAAAAGGAAAAACGATGAGCTGAACAGGGCACTGAAGCGCAGTCAAAGTAGAACAAGACACTGAGCAACTGCCAGCGCTCACCTCGACCACTCCGAGTTTGCGGCGCCAAACCTCGGTAATACGCTCCATCTCTTTGGATAGAGACGAGAAAGGAAAAAGAACACTAGAGGTGAGCTTGCAAGCAAAGCAGGTGACCCGGATTGGGGCCGCAAAGCTGAACCCACCATCTTGATGCTCGCGCTCAAGACGCTCGAGGGTACGCGAATGTTGCTCCATCAAGAGTCGGAGCTCGGCCTGCCGATGTTTGTGAACCTTGCGCAGTTCCTCTGGGGTACACAACAGCCAGCGAGGTGGAAGGTAGACTGGTTAGCATGGGCCTTAAAAAAAAAAAGAAAGAAAGACAGTCTCAGAGCAAGGCTCAAGGTGTCAGTGTTTAGGCTCCAGCCGTGCTGAGCGTCGCCCACCTTCGAGCGTGTCCTGAAACGCAGTGGCTGCATCCCGGGCTTGTTGCTTGATTTGCTAAGAGTGGACATGCATTGCGCGGTGCCGAGGGTCAGGCAGGCAAGGTGTGCAGTTTGACGCAGCGTACAGCCTCGATACAACACTGACAGCAATCTCTTGGGCGTAGTGGGCATGGAGCTTGGACTCGGCTTGAGCCACCAAGTCTTGGCGAATGCGCAATTCGCGAGTGGAAGCATGAGTGCGCATCATCGAGTCAAGACGCTTGATTTCATCTCGTGCCTCGGCAAGCTGTTCCTCGTAGCGGCGGGCCACGCTGCCCTCACGATGGCAGAGCTGGTTGTTTTCGGCCAGTGTTTCTTTGAGGCGCAGATCAAGGCCTGCCGCGCGCAGGCGTTCAACCTGCACCTCCTCGGTCAGCTCGCTTATTTTTTCCAGCAAGGTGCTGCGCTCGTTGAGATAAGCAGCCTCGTCAAAGACGTGCAACGCTTTGGCGGGCGATGCCGGTTGCGGCAGCTTGTGAGGGTCGACCTTGTGCTTAACCAGCATCTTGCGCAGGATCTCAATCTCCTGCTGCAAGGCAGCGGCATGCTGCTTGTGGTACAGCGACTGGCGTTGCCAGTCGATGACCTCCTGCTTCAGCCGCGACACCGATTTGGTCGGTGCCTCTTGATTCTCGGCCATGTTCCGCCCACAACTGGAATCAACTCCATCAAGAAGAGGCAAGCTTTGATCAAAAAACGTAGCTTTGCCTCTATCCCGCCGCCATCGAGCGGGGTCTAGCTCTGTCCACTCCGGCTCCGGCTAACCAAGGCATGCACATCGAGTTAGCAGCAGCAGCAGCAAACGTTTTTATCGGCTGCAACCGGAGAAAAACCAGTCATGCTTCAAGACACACATACACGCACACGCCCCCTCGCCCTTGATATCCCCATCTCCCACCGCTGGCAGCGCCCGCATCGCCGCCGCCGCCATCGTCGTCGTCGTACCTCAAATCTTTGAAAAAAAAATTAAAATTCAAAAAAAAAAATTAAAAAGTGTTGTGTTGACAAAACGCACAACACACACACGCAAGGCTGTTGAGAGGTACACCTGACGGCCAGGAGAAATGCAGAGAGTACGTATAAATTATCAAATGTACCAGAGATATAGAAAAGTCCATCAATTCACAAGCTACAATCCAAAGCCAAACTAGACTTTTATTCCCACCTCAGAAGAAATCCAGAGAATTTCATTGTCCATAGCAGGATTCAGAGAGTCTTGTACAGCCCCATCGTATTTCAGAGAGAAAGCGAGCCCAACCTGACCATCACCAGGAAGACAAGCATTCAAAGTGTAGTATTTTACACACTTCCGCAGGTGCACTGTTGGAACAACTGCAAGAAAACAACAAAAAAAAATTTTCGTATTTTGGGCACTCGACGAGAAACGGCAGCGGTGCGGTAGCACGGCTCGAGGATTGGCTTTAACATCTGCCTGGACGGGGGATCTAAACACCCGGGAAGCGCTCTTGGTGAGCATTGTTGGTGGGTTGCTTTTGGATCGGAGAAGAACGCCGATTTGCTGCTGGTGGCCGCGCGGTGTGACAGGTACGAGGCTTGGTCCAGTCGCGCACCGCCCCTTCGTCCGCTGGTCATGTCGAGCGTGACGAGTGGGGGGATAGGGGCATTCCTCGTGCTTGACGGGTCATGCCCATCCCTCAAGCCGCCTCGCTCGCTCAATTCAACTGCATGGGCAGTTTGTGCTGTTCTTTTCGCTGCTTGGACTGATTCCTCCGGCTGATTCTCTCCTCCATTGGCTGCAGACCTCGCGATTTGGTCACATCTCGCCCTTTGGGCCTGTCGTGAACTCGAGCCAAAACTGAAACTTCAAGAGCCCAGAGCACTGCTCATTGTCTTGGCAGTCGGGTCGACCCTGCACGACTGAGAACCGCCACCGACGGTGTTGTAAGCCGATACCCGTGCTGCGGCAACACACACGCCGCCCCCGCATCGGTCGTACGCCCCCATCTGCAACGCAAGTATGGATGGTCCCACTTCCAAGCTAAAAAAGGTCAAGGCATGGAAATCCAAGGGCAAGGCTTTCCGGCAAGCAGATCCCCTCCTTGCCGTGTTGCAGTGGGGTGTCGATCACACGGTGGGTCCTTCTGTTGGTGCGCGTCGCATGCAGGTGTTGCCGTATAGATCCCACTGATGGTCATGCCGCACCCTCTGCTTAGATGACGCAACTTGAATACGTCCCAGTCAAAGAGTTAATTTTGGTCGAAGATTTCAAAGCTCATAGCAAGATTGCCGTCGCCAATCACCTCTACAACGAGTACGCCCATAAACCTTGTCTTGAAAAGGGGATAAGGTCACGGATAGAGACCCTCGGCCTGCTTGCGCACAAAAGCTCGTTACTCTCACGCGTCTGCACCTATTCGTGCCTTTGTTGGTGGGGCTGATAGTCACGAGCTGCCAAGCAAGTTCAAGGTGAAAGAGTACTGCCCTCTGGTCTTCCGCGATCTTCGACGTCGTTTTCAAGAGGACATGGACGACTATTTGGTACGAGAATTTGCAGCCATATCTGGCGCACAGTACCTCACCGCGTGCATGGCATTGGGCGATGCTCGTGTCCTGATCTGCCCATGCGCTGTGTCCGGGATCTTTATAGTACTCCTTGTGTGAAGGTCCATTGGCCCCGCGCTCCTCCTCGGCTCGGACTGGGTCACATTTTTACGTGTCGCACGATCAGCGCCTGGTGCTCAAGTCGCTGTCCAAGGAGGAGGTTTTGCAGTTTCATCACACTTTTCAAGCCTATCACTCGCATATCGTTGAGTTGGGGTGCCGCACGCTGTTGCCCCGCTATCTCGGGATGTATCGCATCACCGTGCACGACAGGGACTCTTACGTTGTCATCATGAACAGCGTCCTCAGCGCCCAAACCGATGCACCCCCCCAGCTCTACGATCTCAAGGTCAGTGGGCCACGCTTTGCACTCCTGCAAGGAGCCGTCGTGGACTGCGTCAGGACGGGAGCCTTGGCGAGTGTAATCGTTGACGCTCTATATGCGACATCACTGACGAGAGCTTCTTTGTGTGGCCTCCTGTGTGCCGCGTAGGGTTCGACCTTTGAGCGCCATGCCACAGAAAAGGATCTGGAACAAGACGTACCGGTCCTGAAGGATGGGGATTTTCTTCAGCGCAGTATGAGGCTGGAACTCGGCACACATCGCGCTGACTTTTGCGACCGCCTAGCTCATGATGTCAGGTAAGAAGGCCTTGGGCAATCAATGACTCTGGTTCAACCCTGTCACCCGTCCTGATTCCGACTCTCTGGACCTAGAATGCTGGAGCACCTCAATCTGATGGACTACTCCCTCCTGCTGGCGGTGTATCGGCGAGCGGATGTGCGTGGCGATTCATCTCCCGGGCTGTCTTGCTGGAGGTTTTGGGGAGGATCTAATTTTGGAGTAATTTTGGGATAATTTTGTGGCAATTTTTTATAATATTTTTTTTTTTTTCTTTTTGCTTGTTAGATTGAGGATGTGGACGCCTTCGTGCAGGATGCGTACGCATTGCCTTTGGCGTCGCCCGACCAGGAGTACTTGTACTGTGCTGGCATCATTGATGTCTTGACCGTATACAACCGCAAGAAAAAGGCGGCTCACGCGGCCAAAACGGCCAAGCACGGCAAGGCCGCTGAATTTACCACGGTCAACCCAGAGCAATACGCCCATCGCTTTCTTGAGTTCTTGACTGCTGCTGCGAAATAATGGTGGCAGTTCTTCTGCGCCGGCTGTGGAACCTTGCTTGTTTTTCCCCGCCTTCTGACTGGCTGCTGTGACTTTATAATGTCCATTCGGGCGTGTTTTTTTTATTGTTGTTTTAACTTTACCAGTCGAATCCTTCATCATCAACTTTGAAAGTTGTTTAGAGTGTGAGTGTGTCTGGCGACTATTGAGAGCGGACAAAGGTGCAAGGCGCTGGCGCTATCGCCGCCCCAGAATGGCCGGATATACCAGCCACCGAAAGGAAACCGAAAGCAAGATAAGGTAGAACGAGCTTGAATTTCGACGGTGCAAGCAATAACGTGTCAATGGTCAAGCAGTTGCGCTGGCAACCACAACGTGGACCACGGCGACAGCTAAAAAGAAGACCGAGTTGACAGAGCAAAACAAACCAAAAAACAGGAATAGCCAAGACAACGGTATTTAAAAAAAAAAAAACTATCTGAGCATGAAACAAATCGCAAATGTGGCTACAGGCACGATTGCTCGAGCCGGCAATGCTTGACACGAGGACTAAAACACCGGAGGGAACACGGTGTTTGGATGCACAGTTGAACCACGATCAAAAGCTGCTCTCTGTGGTCATGGAGGGTGGAGCATTTAGCCGTTTGCTACGTTTTGGAGTGCCGGCCTCCGTGCTCTTGGAGGACGGGGGCAGCCGATATTCGAGATCCTGCAGAGACTGCAGCAAACCACGAACGCGCTCATCATCCTCAAGGCTCGCTGCAGTTTGGTCAAACGAGCAGACAGGTGAGGCAGACGTGGTGAGCCATTCGCGGCGAGCAGCAGGTCTCGGCCACTCGACAAGACAAGCTGTCCAAGCGCTGTGGGTGCAGTCTACGTACCGGGTCCAAAGCACTCAAGCACCTTGTTCACAAACCGGCAAGCATACATCAACCAGCGTACAAGCTCGTCGCTGCCATTGCCAGCACCACCTCGTCCGGGCGAGGTGACCATGTCCTCCAAAGTGGTTTCGGAAATGCCGACAATGTGTTGGAGCAAGCTGGTGCAGCTCTGATGCATGCTCGCCGCCAACTCGTCGTTGTCACGCAAAGCTTTTTGGAACAAGACATCTCGGTCCTTGAACGCCACGGTCTTGGCCGACTGCTTGCCAACTTGACGATACAAGTCCTACATCAAGGTTTGTCGCATGGGCGAGGCAGAATCAGGCAGCAGCAAAATACACCCAGTGCAAGCCTTCTCGGCCCACATTGCCAAGAACAGAAGCCCTTGCGAACAATGCTTCGAAGTCACACAGGCCCAAAGCACCTACGCGAGCAATGGAAATGCGCTTGATGACATCGTCAAAGTGTTTGCAAACGGTTGGGCGTCCCTGCTTGACGGTGTAGTGGTCGAAGATATCCTGCAGCAGCTCCAGATTGCTTTGCAGAGCCTGCGTCAGCCAAGGGGGGTTTAAAAAACATGCAAGTCAAAGTGCAGGCAGCTCCAGGTGGGGGGGTGGGGGGGGGAGCGCGACACAAACCTTCAAGCATAGGGACTGAGCTTGCTCTGCATAATCCGGACAGAGAGTGGCCAGCATGGCTGATTGCTGCAGTGCTTCCATCAGCAGTTCTTTCAACTATCAAAATTATTGGCCATCCAGGCACACGCCAATGACTTGACCCAGGACGGCAGTCACATCTGGTTTCATATGCATCATCCAAGCACACAATCTCACCTCGCGAGCACGCAAAACGCGAAAGCCTGTACGTTTCATACTAGCCATGTCACGCTCCAAGCGCGCCAGAAACGCAACCGGGATGGCCTGCAAGCACGTCAAAGAGCCCGGGGACCGGTGAGAGCGCGTCTCTCACACACAGGATCGTGGTCTCTGAAGGCGAAAGCAACAACGGCGACCGAGCACGCGGGGATTGCTTTACCTTCATAAAACCCCATGCATCATCAAGGAGTTGGACTTCAGTGGCGAGGCCCAGCTTGGTCCAAGTTTGGCCAAAGGTTTGCAGGCAAGCACCCCAGCGGTGTTGCTTCTCGCGGAAGAGATCGCGCAAAGCTTGTAGGTGGGCACCAAAGTCACGCAGCTCGGGTAATCCATTCTCCAACGAGTCTGTGATGTCATCGGTAACCTGCACGTACTCGACGAGGGTCTCCAGCTTGGACTCCAAAGCCTGCCAACCCTCGAGCTCGGCCTTCATCTGTTTTGAGCCTCCGGGGTACCACTGCGAGCAACCATCCAGCGCACTCACGACTGCTCGAGCCTGCAGCAAAGAAATCAAGATGCCAAAATGTCAGATACGTGCTCAAGTTTGAGTTGATTAATGAGCGTCCACGCATATGCAAGGCAACAAGCGCCGTGGGCCACGCACGTCATCCAGAGTCTGAGGAAGATCGGTGGCCAGACGACTGGCAATCTCAGCAATTTCGGCACGCTTGAGCTCTGCTGCGCTCAAAAACTCTGTGGGTTTGAAAGAAAGGACGACAACAAAAGCAAGCGGTGAGGGGCGGAAGCAGAATCATGTTGAATGAGATATAGGGAAGGAAGTGGCGCGATGGGCGTGCAATTCTCCATAACAGGGCTGGCGCAACGTGACGTCTTGGCTCGCGCAGATCGGTCAGCAGCAGATGCAAAGCAAACATACGGTCCAATGTAATCTTGCGAGCTCGGCATTGGATCTCAGCCCAGCGTCGGGTCTGACATGGACACCAGCAATTTGCGCACATGAACAAGCGGGCAGATACGAGCGACGCATGCAAACACTTGTGTCACTGTCGGGCAACAAGCTGGCGTACCTTGTCATCCAGTTTTGGCTGATCGTCCTTGCTCACTGCCTGTTTTTTGGTAATGCGACTGCGGAGGCGCTGCTCCATCATGGAGAGCTGGTTGAGCTTGGCAGGCTTGGCTTTGTTGGCTGTAGCACCGAGCTGAAGACCCATGCCCGGCGGGGGAGGGGGTGCAGGTGCGCCTGGCGGAGGTGGCGGTGGAGGTGGCGCCGGCACACCACTGGCAAGTGCTGGCGGGGCTGGCGGGGCAGGGGGTGGCATCGGGGCAGCCGAGACTGTCGTCGGCGGCTTGGGGCTAGCATCTTGTGTGTCGGTGGCTATGGCCAGAGGAGAGTCAGTCGTGGCAAGAGGATGTGCTCGCTTGGCAATCGCCTGAGGTTCACTCGAAGCGGTGGAATCTTTGTCGAGGGCAGCCGCAGCAAGCTGCTCAGCGAGGGAACCGGGCGCTGGCGATGAGGCAGGTTCAATCTCGGGTTGTGGTTCTGGTTTGTCGTCGATCAGAGCCCGAAGGCGCTGCTTGGATGACTGCGGGTTGAGGTGTTTGTACATGAGTCGAGCGTAGACGTCTGACTCGTGGCTGTGCTTTGATGGGTCAGGAAAACTTATGCGTCTATGCATGCAAATGCGGCCGTACCTGCACTGCTGCTTTCATGGGCTTGGAAGTGGGTTCATTTTCGTCAACTTCATTTTCGGAGCGCAACTCCTCGGCGTATCGACGGCGGTTTCTATCATGCATAACGGCCGATGGGCACCGACAATAGCATGTCAAAAACATGCAGCAAGGGGAAGTGAGTCTTTGAGACAGACCGGGGGTTCGGGGAGCACCATCGTAATCGACACTAGACCGGGTCGTTTTAGAGCAGGCTGACTGAGCGCACGCGTGGTTGCGGTCAAGGAGACGCACCGGTGTCGGCGGCTGTTCGGCGTGAGAATGGACTGTCGGTATTGCTCGCGAAGCAGATCGCGGCGTGTCAGCGTCTTGCGCCGAGTGTTGGCGGGTGAGGAAGCGCCAGCATGCTCATCCTCAATCTTCAACATGGTCATTTTTTCGACGATTCGCCCACTGTTGCGATCGGGCGTGACCACGGTACCGCGGGCCTTGAGCTTTTTCAGTTGGCGTGGTCGCATGGCTGGCTCCTGATTTTCGGCATCATCGGTGCCCACAATGTTAACAGCGCGGGTAAGCAGATCCATAAAAGCTGTCCAGGTAGAGTTGATGGCGGGCTTGCGGCGCGCATCTTGAGGGCGCGTGCTAGGGGCGTGTCGGCTGCTCACGAGCGGCTTGGGTCGCTTTGTACCTCCCAAGGTCTTTGCCGCAACGGTTGGAGACAGACGTTTGGCGAGCTGGCGCTCCGCCTGGAGGATCGCAAACACAGGAGGAATTAGCAAGGGCACAGAGCAATGCCAATACGCGCAAGTCACGGATCTGCATTGAAGATCGTCAACACTCGGTACTAACTGGAGAGCGGTTGAGGTCTCGGGTTTGGAGGGCCTTGCGCGACGCCATTGTGACGTCGTGCTACCCAGTTGTGGGTCGAGTTTCAAAACCGGGACAGCTGCCGTAACCTTGCCCGATTACGAGCACCACCGGAACACATCCGCCTCTGAACAGACAGCGAGAGTGAGAGAGAGAGCGAGTGTGTGTGTGTGTGTGTGTGTGTGTGTGTGTGTGTGTGTGTGTGTGTGTGTGTGTGTGTGTGTGTGTGTGTGTGTGTGTGTGTGTGTGTGTGTGTGTGTGTGTGTGTGTGTGTGTGTGTGT